ACTGAGTTTGGTGACCCCTGCTCTATTGTTTGAGCTACAGGAGTATCGTCTCAGGTTACTTGTGTAACCATGGTTCCCTGAGGGGAACGAGACACTGCGTCCTCTAGGGGTCGCTATGGGGAACGCCTCGTCGTGACCCGTGTCTGAAGCCTACATTGAAAAAACACCAACTTGTTTGGCCGGCGACAGCCATGACGTCACTACCGTCGCGACCTAATTTACATACTCATGCAAGAAATCTGGATTTTTCCAGGACCATTGCTAAACTAAAATTCGTCATCTTGTTTAAGGACTTGCTTAATGTCATGCTTATTTTTTTTCCCCCAGTCTGATTTTGTACTTGGAAGTTTGTCAACGATCTTAGCCTTGCTTAAAGTTGCTTCAGAAAAATGTAGCTTGTGATTGTTTATGTGTGGGGTAAAATGTTTAGCTAGTGTGTCTTGCTTTGTGTTTGTGTAGCTCATACCCAGACACAATGGGAAGTCTGGTGTTTTCACTAATAAATAATATAAAAATTTAAAAATTTGATTTTACAGTTTTTCTGAATTGCTAAAACACATTTCTTGAAACCATCACTCATTTTCTCAAAACCTTCATTTTGCAATTCTGTAAAAGAAAGTATAGTAATTGCAACTGAGTAAGGTGAATATATTGTATAGGCCTACTGTATGTACTGCAAGAATAGTATTGTGCTGAATATTGAATAGTACTGAATGTTTGTATATATTCAGCACTTGGATACTGCACAAATGCTGCAGTCCAACTGCAAAGGCCAAAAAGGTCAACTAAAACTCTAAATGAATAGCATGTTACAGTACACTCAAATACTGTAAGTTGTGCAATTGTAAAATCAGGGTCGAGGAGAGATTCATTCTGTCTCAGCATCATGTCTTTGTGCTTGAGTCCGGCCTGAGGACTTTGTCCACATCACAAGTAATGTTGTCTTTTTTGCTAGACAAATAGAAAAAAACCCCCTCTGGTCTGATAGATCCAGCCTTGAGAACATTCTCTAAACCTAACTCTTTCTCTCCTCGTCCTCTTCCTCCTCTTCTTGCATGTACGCTTCCTCCTCTCCTTCTCAGATGGTTTCCATCTATTGTTCGTATCATCATTCAGTCACCTGTGCCACTTGTGCACTCTGAACTGGCTCATATTTTGTACAGTTGGTTTGATCACATCATTAGAAACAAGTGTGAACAATTTTGAATCGTGTGTAGT